ATTTTCCAGAGGAGACTGCGGAAAATGGGAGCTTTAGTATCCAAATTCATTATCGCAAAGCCTGAGCTATTTACCATAACATCACTTGAGGTTATCGTAAATGGAGAAAGGTTTTTCCCCTTATGCATTATACCTTTTATTTGAAGTCTCTACTTAGCTTATAAAAAATGTATGTATGTGTGTTTTGTGTGTGTGTGTGCATGTGTATTTATGGCTTTAATGTCAAAACACACAAAACTTTATCATAAAGACATAATCTAAATGCGAAGTATGCTGTCATATACTTTTTTTTCAAGTAAGGGCTTGTGTTGATTAGATGTATCACAACTTTGAAACTCTTGTTCATTGGCCAATTTCATTATTTTGGAAGATTTTATCTGAATATGTTTGTGTAACTGATTGTATATATGTATACCACATGTGTGCAGGTGTCAATGAAAGCCAGCCATGGTGTTGGATCCCCTAGAACTGAAGTCACCCTTGTCCTCTGGAAGAGCAATCAGTGTTCCTGAATGCTCAGTCATCTCTCCAGCCCACCATCTAGTTCGATTTCTATCCGTGGTATTGATAACTATCAGTCATTTTGTTATAAGCCAGTTTTTATAAACAAGGATGCAAGTTTTACTCTATATTTTTCTAGGACACCTTATTGATTGTAAATAAACTCTAATGTAGGCAGAGTGTCTGTGTGTCTAGGCAGCCACTTCCAAATAACCATTAATAACTTATTATTAGTTTTATATATGATCAGCTGATAGCTTAGGCTTGTTACTAATTAACACTTACATTTTAAATTAACCCACATTTCTTATCCACCCTTTGCCATGTGGTAGTACTTTCTTTTATTTTTATCTTGTTTTCCATTTGTAATTGTATTTTATTTGTAGATCTCCCCCGCCAATCGTTTTTACAATAGCTTCACCAGTACATCAGGATTTGAATACTGTACAAAGCAACTGTCTTTTCTTTTTTATTGTTTTTATTGAGCTATATATTTTCTCTGCTCCACTCCTTTCCTCTCCCCTCCCCTTCAACCCTCTCCCATGTTCTCCTTGCTCCCAATTTACTCAGGACATCTTGTCTTTTTTCTACTTTCCATGTAGATTAGATCCATGTATGTCTCTCTTAGGGTCCTCATTGTTGTCTAGGTTCTCTGGGATTATGAATTGTAGGTTGGTTTTTTTGCTTTATGTCTAAAAAACACTCATGAGTGAGTACATATGATATTTGTTTTTCTGGGTCGGGTGTTACCTCACTCAATATGATGTTAATTTTCAATGAAAATGACTGCATAACATACCCAAATTTATGGGTAACTTTTGTAACACCACACATTCATCTTGCTTCTCTGATTTTTCTTATGTCTCCCAAGGCTCCACCCTTCTTCCCTGCTTTTTCTTTCCCTGCCTCGCTGTACCCAGATACAGGCCAGTTAGTTCTTTTATTAAACCAATAGGAAGTGCGTTGGCAAAGTCATATCTTGACAATGTACAAAAAGATTATTCTATAACACATGAGTGAGTAAAATGATGAGTATATTCTACTGATAATTCTGACAACAATGTAAAAATTAAATAAACTGAGATTTCTATGGGTTAGCTATCATGTATATCTAATGTAGTCACAGCACTTATTTAAATAAGGACAAAGCATTATGTCTGTGTCTTTCTAGAAAAAAAGGAAACTTCTTTTGGGGTTCAAACTTTTGTATTTATCATTATATAAAGTGGAGCATGATTCTAAATGAAAAAATACATTAGCTCATTAATTTCCAAATATCTATTAAGAGTGACATGTTGGAATTATCTTCCTCTTACACACACATACACACACAGGCACACACTTAGACAACACAAAAATCCTGCATTGCATTATATAATTGTAGGGTGCTAACATACCCTAGAGTCTTAAATTCTTATTTGAATTTTAAAAGTTACCCTAGGGACACAAAGCTGTATGTCAATATGGAATGTGAGAAACTTCTAGCTCTACTGTTAAAACTGTTAGCATTTGGAAAGATACTGGTCTTTTGTCTAGATTCAAGCATTGAACTCCCAAGGGGAATAACTACTTTTAAAGTAATTCCCAGCAGCGCCATTGACTGGCACACCACAATTCTTTAGTATTACCGAAGACAATTCATTTCCAGACATGTCGAATAAAAGAGAGTCATCCATCCATAATACTTATGAAGTGTATTGGTATCTTGGCATTTTATTTTCATTACTTATAAATATGCCTTTCACTAACCAAGCAAGGCCATGTCTAGCCACAAAGGTTAGGTTGTTCTCCTTGGAGTAGAGTTAATACATAACCCATGATTCATATTTGTTAAGGATGGAGATTAAGAGCTCAGGGCCCCAACTAATGGACTGAGCCCAGCAACTGGATCACAAGGCTGTAAAACACAGTGCCCTCTGGGGGTAGAGAGGTGGCTTGGATATTGATAAAAGCAAGTGTGCACACAACTGTTTTCCCAAGTTCTTTAAAGTATGTAACATATTGAAGATTTTTCAAAGTTTTTTGAGTCATAGGTAACACTCACATAAAAGAGTTTTGAAACGTTTTATATAATTATGAATCAGTAAAACAAACTAAACTGTGTATTAATGTTCACATAATAACTGGAAAATCTGTATGCAGTTTTGATTGCCTCTATTTTCATTTACTGAATAGTTGTGATAGTCAATCTTCTATAATAAAATTGTGTCTCCATGTATTTTTCTATTTTAAATATGAAAATACCTTCTAGACTACACGAGAACAAAGACCAAAATAATTACAGGAAGATTCCCACACTTTAATATAAGAAATAACCATCTTGTTGGACTGCATGGCTTTACTATGAAGATCATTTAAATGGTAGCACATAATTTAAACTTGAAATTTAAATATTTTCTGTATAATTTTATCACACTACATTACACTAACATCTTAGCTTTATTCTTATGAAGAAAGATAAGATTAGTGTTATTAAAGATACTATTTCAAATCCACAGGTTTTTATAGTAATAAAATGCTAACTCTAAAGCACACCTTCATAATGACAGCAATTTTGTGTTCTTCTTGAAATGAACTTTGTGTTCTTGAATTTTTATTTGGTACCCAAGGCTTATTTTTTGAGGCTTGAAATGATGAATGCCATAAAAATGATAGTGGCTTACATGCCCTCAGGCACACAATGGAAAACACTTCAATTGCTCTTGAATCATCATATTTTGAATCAGAAGTCTGACTCAACATCTAGCAGTTAGGACAAGCTGACTGTGTTCTGAACGAATGATAGATATGAAAGGCATCCGATGTCTGGGGATGGAGCACTCCCCAGAAAGGGAGCTATGAGTGACATTATCATAATACATAGACATTAGTGTTGATTTCTCAAGTATGAGAAAAAACTTTCCTCTTTGAGAGTCCCAAGTTGACATAAATCTACTTAAATGTGTGGTGCAAATCAGGATCCTTTCCTTTTATTTCTTCTCTTTGAGCTTACTATGTTATATGCTATACCATGAGGTGCTCTAACAGGCCATTCATCACTAGGCATTCCCGGCACTCCTCGCAGTTGCAGAGTGTCCATCACTTTTTGGAAAGGAAAACTCATGGCAACAAGCTTTCATTATTTGTGTATCTAAGAATCTGAATACCCATCAGGAGCTGTCCTCATGGGAAATATCAGGGCAGTGGAAATAGAGGCTTATCATGAAGTCATGATTTGTTTTGCATTTATGAAAAATATCAAAAACTTACGAAAAATGTGCTTTGGAATTCTAAAGAAGTTTATGACATAAGCCAAGTAACTCAAATAAAAGTCCTTGGGTGCTGGATGATTCACAACTGACAACAAAACGCTGTCATGTAACACAATTTTTAGCTTATTAGCCATTGCTTTATTGATCCCTAAAAAGTGATATTTTCCTGTACTGGGGATCATGAAGTGGCGATGATCAACTATTGTTATGTGACAGTACAGCTGTTACATATACTACACTGCATACACTACACATACTATACACACAAAAACTGTGATGTTACTGAATGTGGTGGTGCACACCTGAATATCAGCTAGGAAAACCATGAATTTCAGACTGACCTCTGGTTCATATACACCTGTGGTACACCAAAATAAAAGCAAAAGCAAATAATACCACGAACAGCTTTTAAAAAAGAAAGCAAGGAAAATTACTCTGTCACTCATGTTGTAGAATATGAACTTGTTTTAAAAATTTTCTTCCTTTGCTTCTACTTTGGCTCCTCTGCTTTTCTTAGCAGCTTTGGGTATGTCTAGAGGTTAACTTGTAGTCATTCTGAATGCTACACTCTAAAGTGAGTGACAGTAATTCTTGAAAGTAGATTTAAAGGAGAAGATGAGGGCATGAGGACCTAAAGCATCTGGTGATGAATATATAGGGCTTGTTTATTTATCTTTTCATTTTATCTTATTGGGTGAGTGTTTTGCCTATATGTATGCCCTATATATCATGTCCATTCAGTGCATGGACAGCAGAAGGTGTTAGATATCCTGGAGTTCGAGTTACAGACTGCTTTAAGTCACCACATGGGTGGCAGGAAGAGAACCTGGGTCTTCTGGAGGAGTAGCCAATGTTCTTCATAGTTGAGCCACTGGATGAAGGGTTAACAAGTCAGTCTTTTGGGATTCAGACTTTTATTCTTAAAATATATCACGTGTCTCGGGCTAGCTGACAGCCCCGCCATGCAGCAAGCAGGCTGCCAAGTGTGTCCAGGGAAAGCCAAGCAGATGCAGTTCCCAACAACAGGGGGCCATGTGGCAGCGGATTCCCAACAGGAGAGCACATGTAAACAGACCCATAGATACAGAAAATAGCCATAAACATTTATTAAAGGAGAGAGGGACAGAGAGAGAGAGAGAGAGAGAGAGAGAGAGAGAGAGAGAGAGAGAGAGAGAGAGAGAGAGAAGAGGACGAGAAAAGAGAGAGAGAAAGATGCGTGTGCACACCAGAAGAGAGCAGGAAGAAGAAGGAATCTTCAGATGAGGCGAGTGGTCAGAGGTCGCTGGGAGTGGCGTGGACGAAAGGAACAACATTCCCACATCTTGCTTATAATAAAAAGCAAATTAGACACCATAGTTTGAAAAAATTGGGGCGGCGAATTCTCAAGACTGCTTCCTGCTGATTGTGGGCATTGTCTTTGGGGGGGACCTGAGAGAAGGCTGGGTGCTGGTCACATCTTGGCATAGCTGGTCTCTTTGCTTCTGACCGGTGTCTGTGGCATGGGAATGTCTGGTGTCCCTAAGGTATTGGCAGAACAAAGAACAAAGTTAAATTAAGGAAAAAAAATTTTTTGGATCAGGGAATTGAGGGGGTATCTGACCTGTTTAAGATGGATTCCTTAATTCAGCTCCCTGGAACTCACAAGAACCCCTTGGGTTTGTGAAAACAGAAGTTTTAGACATATAATGACTGTAGCCTAAGAGATAAGTTTGATTTGAAAATTGTTTGGTGAGGTAACCTGGCAAAACCTCAACCTGGCAAAACCTTTCACCTATCAAACTGTCAGAGACCTTTGAGAAGGATAAGATTTTACTTGAGTTACTGATTTACAAATGACAGAGAACTTACTCGGTTGGTACCCAGAGCTACTCTTTTTGGGTCCTCAGTGGTTGCTGAAGGTTACAATTGACTTTTGCTGTTTAGGCCAGGCTCCAGAAGACCCTGTGGGCTAAGAAATCTGTAGGAAGACAGGCCTACCTTGACTTGAGCAGCTAGGCTGTTGATTCCAGTGATTTTGTCCACGTCTGGAGGTCTTTAGTTTAGATGAAAGGCAGTTTTGTCCAATGGTCAGTGTTTGGCAGTCGAAACGAAGTGCAGAAGGGTGTTGTTCTGCGTGCATCTGTCTTCTGTCTTCTTTGGAGGGAGTAGAGAGCTGCTGATAGGAACCAACCTGTCCCTCTTCTTATGAAAAGTTTTTAAATAATTAAATACTTAAATATCACATTCCCCAGATCTCTGAGCAGTTGAGGGCTGTTTATCAGGTATAACTATAGAATAGAATTTCTTTGGAGAGTTGGGTCTGAGCTTGACCGCACTGGCTCTCAACTTAACAGGTAAGATTTACATTTGTAAAAAGGCAGAAAGAAGGAAAAAAAAAACTGCTTGTAATATAAGGTTAGTGGCAGAACTGACAATGGTAGAGAACGGTCTAAGAGACTTAAAGGTACATACCAGTTTAAAATACGAGACTCGTGGTTTGTAGTCTGAAATGAGATGTAATAAACAATTATTATACATAGAAAGAGTGAACAGGAATTGGGCAATGAGGATGCCTTTGATGGGCCCTATCAAAGACATGCCATTGCGCAAAACACATAAAACAAAGAGTTAACATGAGTTTAGTGAAAACCGTGTCAAAAGGCAGGGTAAAACTGGAAGAGCTTGGTCACCTGACCCACCTGGGAGAGCTCGGTCACCTGACCTGGCTCTCAGCCAAGATGGCAACAGCTGCCTGTTTGCTCTGTTGGTGAGCCGCCATGCCATAACAAAAGCCACAGAGGGGAGGGGCAAAAAGCTGGAACGAAAAAAAAAAAAGCGGCTATTTACAGTTTTCTTCTAAGTTATATTGGGGCCATTTTTTGGACAGAGACGGATAAAGTGTGAGGTTGAAAGGGCGTCCAAAGGGCATCCCCAGCAGGGAGGCCAGAGTGATAGGTCTGGAGGGCTTGCTTCCCATGGCTAAAGCTGTGAAAACACCCGCAAAAAAACGTGGCACCTCAAACCGTAAGGTGAGATGCAGATAGATGGCACGAACACTCAGGCCCTCTAAACAGCCCTCTGAGCTTACAGGGGGAGTGCTAAGGGCCTGGCTGAACTGACTTAAGCCTCTAACTGGAGATGGATTCCCGGGCAAGAGGGGTTTAGCCAAGGCCAAGCTGCCCCATAGCGGCTGGCTTGCATTGTAGCGAGCTGTATGAAAAGAAGATAGGATAAGAATGAAAAGAAAGAGAAGGAAAGAGAGCTGAGGACTCTGAGTTCCATCTGCCTGGGGTCGGCTCCACGAACAACACCAGCTCCTAATTGTGAATTTTTCCCTTTCGGCTAAACCACCCCTTTTAACCCAGAGATTGTCCATTGAGCTCCCGGCAATCTTCCGTGTTCTCTGGGGTGGGGGGTTGGGGGGGGGACTTCCTGGTCCGTTGTTCCTTTTGCTAGCATTCATCCTGGCTTTCATCCTTGGCTAAACCCATCTCAAAGGGCTTGGCCTTAGCCAGCCCCTCACCCACCCAGAGCTGAGGACTCAGAGTCTCAGAGAATCTCCTTTGGGCCTTGCCCCAAGTTCCTGCCATTTTCTGGCAATTTCTATTTCTTGATTTGTAAAAATTCACCTGTACCTTGCCTTTATGGACAGATGGTATAATCCTTTTGTGCTTCTCTATCTGTAAATTTCTCATTTTGCGATTACCAGTCACATTTGATTGGAGACTGTATTAGTTACTCTTTATGTTATTGTGATAAAATAGCCAATAGACACAACTTACAAGAGGGAATAGTTATTTTTGCTCATAGTTTTAGGGTGTCTTCTTCCATTGTGTCAAGGAAGTCACAGAGAAGGGGCTTTGTTTGTGGGGTAGAGACATGAGGCAGCAGGTGTTCACATGGTGACACAATAAACAGCCTCATAGGATGTATCCAGGGTGGAGCCTTTATAGATTTGGTCCCTATTGATCTATTTCCATTATCCAGGATCTACCCATTAGTACACTACAGCTTTGAGAAGAGCAGTGTAAACTAGGGCACAAAGTTAAAATTGTGAGGGTTGGGGACATTTTAGATTCAATGCTGAATATCATTCACGTTTATAATCTCTAAAAATATCTTGTTTCCAAAAGGGTCATAATCTGCAATATTAGAGACTAGAAGAGTAAATATGAATTTGTGGGTTTATAACCTTATTACTAATAAATGTGTCCATACTGGCTGGTGTTATGGTTTGAAAACCCATTATCATTCTTTTCAGTAGATCAAAATTCTGTTCTTAGTCCATTCACTAACTCAGACAGCTTATATGGACCTGACAAATTTCTCAACTACAGAAGAGATTAAGAAAGCAAACCCAAACAAACGTTTACCAACTTTATCAAATCAACATTGGCCTTTGTTTGCAGGAGGTCACTTAGTATTAGTGTGGGTAAACTAAAAGAGATGTGTTATTTTGCCTCCTCTTTCATCCTGTCCTTTTGTTTTTGTCTTCTTCCTTATTTCTGAATGTGGAGTATGTTGTCAGGTCTTTTGAAGTTTTAAGAAGTGATGTAAATTAATATTGTATGTTAAATTTCATTCACTTAATGATGCGTGCATCTATTTCACAGTTTTAAAAAAAAAGCACTGAGTTGGGGATTAAATAAAAGAAACTTCATGCATAGACTAGATTTATTTTAGAGACTGTCTCCTAAATGAAGTAGTCTTCTGTTTAGCACCATTTAATATTCAATCCTATCCAGAAGTATGCATTACATAATTTAGTCTTCAGTGGAAATGTGGAGAGTCATGATGACTATCGGGTATTTAGTCTCAGGGAATATAAACCCAAGAAGCATCGGTTGGTAGCTTTTGGGATCATAGACTGTTATCTATTCTCTCCACAATAGTAACAGTAATAATACCAATCTAAAAATGTAATATTTTCTTGGTGCTGATTAACTTTAGAAAACAATGCACTATGTACATGATCACTGTAGTGGCACTTGGTGAAGAAAATGTAGAAATAATTACAAAGGCACTATGTGCATGTAGGAACATTAAATACTGGTATTTGACACATTCCAGAGGGTGTACTGCTCTTTCTGTAGAATTCAACACCATTGCTTTGGTATCATTAAAGTTATGTAGGGCTCTGCCTCATTTCCTCCACCCTCATCTCCACAATAAACATCAACTTGAGAAACATGCTTTTCCTTTATGATCCGGGTTGTAGAGATTATGGGAACAGGTCCTTTAAGAAGTGATAACAGGTACAATGAATCTTTGGTTGGTTTCCACAGCATGTGAGGCTGAAAAACATTCATCAATATTGCTCCCGAGAGGCCATTTGAGTACGTGACAATAAAGAGTCAGTCTTGTTAGAAGACCATCTTACCCTACTTAGACTTGGAAAAGGCAAAGTCAGTCTCTCTCTCTCTCTCTCTCTCTCTCTCTCTCTCTCTCTCTCTCTCCCTCTTTCTCCCTCTCTCTCTAGTAATAAGATGGAGAGAGGTGGTGAGTGGATTCTATACATTTTTTTTCTTGTATCTCATCCATTGTTCTATGTGATTAATTTCTCCTCATCACTCAAAACAGACACTGAAAATTCAGACTAAAATTCATTTTTATTTTAAGCTATTTTTAGTAGAGTTTTGTGATTGTAGCTATGAGTAAAGTATTCACAGACTAAAGCATATCTTATTTAAGGAATCTGATCAACTGTACGTTTAATTTATTTTTTTAGCGAAGATTATAATAATATTCTGTAAGCAAGTGTTACAGCCCTGGAGCTGCAAAGGGACATATCTGGAGGAAAGGGTATCCTAACTTTTTGGTAAGTCAAGTCTGACTCCTCAGGAAGTCAGGCAATATCCGGAGCTATGAAGGGACAGCTCTGAAGGAAAAGATATCTTGACATCTTGACTCATTTGGAAAGTCAGATAATACCTAGAGCTGCAAAGAGACAGCTCTGGAGGGAAAGGTATCCTGACTCATCGGGAAGTCAGGCAATACCTGGAGATGAGGTGCAGTGTGGGAATAATCTCCCCACAGGTTGGCAATCCTACTCCTCTCCTAGAGCACATTTACAGCTGAGCTCTGCTAGGTTTCCCTCAGGGAATGTCCTAGCAGAGCTCTCCCCTTCTGCTCTGCTCAGTTCTGGCTCATGATGTTACTTGTTAGGCTTCACTCTGCGAAAGGCAAAGCTCCTGCAGAAGTGTAGCCATCTCCTCAAGCTCCAAACAAAAGTTGTTACCTTTTGCTCTCAGCTCACTTAAGGGAATGTCTCAGCAAAGGTTCTTTTCTCCAGTGGAGAAAGAAGGTCTTCACCCAAAATTCATTTAATAAAGATTTATTTGGGAGGGAGGAGTCCAACAGAGTGGCTGCCTCTGCTAGGGTGGAAAAGGACATCCCACAACTGAACAGACAGAAGGGCTTATAAAAGGCCTCTTAGGGACAGAGTTTTCCCAGTGAGAAGATTTTCTGCTTAGGGTTTGATGGGCGACCAGGAAGTGCAGACTTATGGGTGGCTGAATAATTACAGTTTCTTTCACTGACTTGGGTTTCAGGGCCAAGGCAGATTCTTTCGGTAGTTCTGGTTTCATATCTGTGGTGGGTTTCTTTCACTAGCTCTGGTTTCATATACAGGGTATGTTTCTTTGGCCTTTTACCTACATTTTCTTTATTTTGCCTTTAGATAGTAGAAGCATAACAGTCACCACTAGTATTCTATAAAATCATTTTTTTCAGAAAATAATATTGTATCTTTCTTCTATAAAATTGTGTATCATAAATGTACAATGTTTGCATATGGTGAGTACTTTGGGGGTTTTAGCTTTCAAACATATATTATGTATTTTGGAATAATTAAAAGTATTTCAGAATAACTTAAATTATGAAAATTAATGAAATTAATTTAAATACACAACATTAAACTTCTTGGAATTACCTTACCCTTAATTAGTGGATATGTTGAAAGCAAACCAAAATAAGTCAAATTACTTACTTAGTAGTGTACGTGGCAAGATAGGAGAAGAGATGATATTAGGAAAATAAGTAGTGTTGATCTGCCTTTGAATACCAGCACCTTCCATTCATGCTGTCAGTATTTTACAGAGGATGCCCTTGCAAAAACCACAGTTATTAAGGAAGTAGTGGAAGAAAGTTGTGAATGTTGTTTCAGATACAAATTCCACTTAACAGAATGTCCTAGCACTTCATTTCAATTTAATAACCATCATTGTGTTTGTTGGATGGCAGAATAAAGTGAAGTTAATATAACAAAAGCTGTCATACCAAAAGGAGAATTGTAGCATATGTTTCACCTAAAATACATGGCACGATGAGCTAACATCTGATAATGTCTTCTATCTCTCTGTGTTTTAATAGCCATGGAGTGTTTCCATGTTTAGCCAAATGTGACATTATCAAAGAATTGACTTTGAAATTATTGCCTAATTTTCAAACTAATATCTCTACACAATGGACTTTCTCAGAAATCTATTTGAATTACTGCGGAAATTGTTA